TATATATATATATATATATATATATATATATAGTTTTTATAACACAAATGCAATCATTAACTATTCTTTTTTCTTATAAGCTAATAAAATAATGGACATTTTTGCTATTTCTCACAATCATTAAGAATTACTGAACATTTTACGTAGGTAACTGGACAGTATTAGTCAAGTTGTTTTACATTATTTAATAATCTACAACTGTGTGTCCATACTTCATGTATTAAACTATCATGTGGTTCAAAGCTTTCTTAATAATTATTTGAAATAAGATATCTTAATTACCTTACACCACCTGGAAGTGACTTTATCCATCCATACTCCACAGTTCTCCAACTTAGGTCTTAAGTCTGACATGTTAACAACACTGGATTCCTTCTGCTCTTCTAATAACAGAAACTTCTGCATGTGTACAAACATTCAGAATTAGATTCTGAAATCTGGAGCAGCTAAAGTACTTTAACAAGTAACTCTTAAATAAACAAAGCAGTCAATAGCCATATTAATATAGTGTATGTCTGAATATGATGTTAAGAAAATTATTTAAGTTAATGAATATGTTAACATAACTCCCAGACATCCTGTATGATAAGTACCTTCAAACTCTTGTATCTATTTGTCTGCCATTCTTTACATAAATTTCTCACCCCTCTCATGTTTTACATAGAAAACTTGGGATGAGAAATAAAAATTAAAAAGTATTTTCTCAATAAAATGCTATATGCAAAGCAACATACACCCCGTACTTTTTATGTAATAAAAATGTTCTTAATATTACTCTTAAATGATGGCATATTGTCATATTTCATTGTGAAAAATTGAAGTTTTACTTCTAGGGAAACCTTTGACAATAATCTCCTAACTCATATAATGATAAAATATAGGTTAATAAATTATGGCAGCCACATTGTATTCAAATATTTTCCGCTAACTTTCCATGCATGTGTGCACACACACATACACACACACACACACACACACACACTGATATAACAAATTTTTCTCCAAATTCTACTTACGTAACACCACTTTAACTTATATCTTGTTTATAAAGGGTAATATAAAAACTCAGACTATGGTATTACAGAAAAAATTCTTCCAACAAGGAGATTCCAACTCAAAGGTAGAAATGCTGCAATTTTATTTTTTAAGGAAAAATTAACATAACATATCATCTAGTATGGTGAATTAGATAATTCAGATAAAATACCAGAGTGACTGGTCAAGATTACATAAAAAATATACCAATAATAGGCACAAGCTAAGCAACATGAATGTATGTGCAAGTTCTCAGACTGAAAAATGGGTGGGAGTAAGAATTTTCCCAGACTTTTCTAGTTTTTATGAGTGAAAATTATACTTACATGAAATATTATTAACGATTAAAATCATTAAAAAATTAATTATTATAAAACTTGAAAAATATCACAAGAACATGATTCAAATTATTTAATGATTCTAAAAGAAAGTAAAATATAATATCCATCATAATTACCATCAACTCTTAAGTTTCCCACCCGAGTAAACATTAATAAAACTTTTTCAAGTCCACATCTTTCATTTCAAAGATAAACAGCTGTAAGTTATCTCCAAAAGTAAACTTACAAAGTATTGTATGAAGAAATAGAATTTTGCATAATTCAAGTGGATACAGCATCCTGAAAAACATACACTATTTTGTTTATATGATTTTTTTTTGTTATATTACTGCATAAACACATATTGGTACATGTTTAAAGTTTACAAAAATAATGCCTTATGCAAAAAAAAATAAAATAATAACATTCAAGTGATCTTATTTTTCTATAGATTATTCCAATTGAATAAAGCAACAATTAAATATTTAAGTTCAACCCTACTCAAAACTAAGTGATAAGGTAAGGTACTGGCTTGTACTTAAATGGCTATTCCACCAGCATCTATTATTACTGTTGAGCTTGAAAAAAAAATTAAAGTTATTACACTTAATATGGTGGTAACTCTTACTCATATCTAATATAAATATTGTAAATAAAAATTTGTTTTACCTCTATTCTTTTAAGGGAAATAAGAGACTCTGCTCCTTGTGCTACTCCAAATGGGAAAAACAAAGTCATTGTAAGTCGCAAGTTGTTGTAGAGAGCCATACTAACAAATACCACTTCTGCAGTTAAGTTTCTTCCCATGAATATGTATGTGATGAAACAAATGAACAGGATGATTTTTGAGGCCACAAAAAATAAAGACATATTCACTGCTCGCAGGATTGAAGTATACCGAATCTTGCGAATTTCCTTCCTACACAAAAAAGGAAACCAAATGCTATCTCACTGATTTTAATTAAATTTCTAGTATTATATGCTCTATAATTTCCACTTCTATTTATCAATTCTTAGCAAGATATTTTTCAGTTCTTTTCTCGCATTCTTCTTTTTAAATTTTGAGTTTATTGTTGAGTGACATAAAGATTTATTCATGAGAAAATATAGCTTTAAATAACAAAAAGACAGTAAATCAAACAGATATACAAATAAATTTTAAAAATCTGTTTAAAGAAATTTTCTACATAAATTATTCAAAACTTTCAACATGACCCATATAAAAAATATATTATTGTAACTGTGGACCATGTGCTATAAATGAAATTCAACTTTTAACTTGATTCAAAGGAAATTATTCAACTACATACTCGATTAACTCTACTGTACATTTACAGTTCATAATATTAGATTTAACTTCTCACAACTACTAGTGTGGGCACGTTACTAGAAAAAGGAAAAACATTACTTTGGCCATTACCTGCTGGAAATAGTAGTGTTGTTACCAAAAATATTACCTATTTTAAAATGTAACAAGTAATGACTCATTACTCATTATTTTTCAAACAGATACCTGTATTCTGTACATAAAACATGCAGTGTGTACATCATATATTATATATATATTTATGTATACAGAAATGAACTACAAGCATTGATTTCAAGACAAAAAAAAGTGCATTATACAGTAAGAGGTTTTAGAATAGCAATTAAAGGAGCTACTTTTATTTTTCCTTTATAATATTCATAGTAAGAGCAACGTATGACTTACACAACACAAGAAAAAGGAATACAAATGACTAAAATAACTAATAAGTAGCCTATCAATTAGTGTGAAATAATGTAACAGAGTTTACTTCATGTAATAACTGCAGTATTAAAACTACTATTTTGGGAGACCAATATCACTGCTACATTGCAAGAAAAACAGCTCTTACAAAACTTGCATCAGACATTCCTCGTCTTTTTGCCCTCAGCACATCTTTTCTAACTGAAAAGAAAAACCCTCTCAACTGCAGCATTTGACAGAATAACTGTATTTAATTAAATAAAAACTGACTTTAAGACTGCATCTGGAAATGCATCATCGTGAACAAGCTTTACAAGAGATTTATCTAAAAAAGTAGCATTTACTTGAGCACTTTTGTTTCCAGTGCTCTTTGTTTCCTCTGTTTGCAGGCACCTGAAATAATCATCTTAATCTTCTGTTTCTGTCATGCTATCTTGATTAAGTGATTCTGTACCATATTGTGCTGTGTTCTTCTTCTATCTTTGCGATCATTTTTTGTCTAATTTGTTCCTTCTGATTTTCTGGAAGATGGAAGACCTTGAAGTTAGGATGAAAACATGCCAAAAGAATTGAATCGTCATCGTTGAACACATTATCTAGTTTCTATACTTTGAATTAATACTTCAACTAGAAGTTTACAAATTTGAAATCATTTATTAGTCAAATCACCCAATTTGGTTAGACAAAGATGCAAGGAAGGAATCAGTAGTCCCTAAAATGATTTGTTCTCGCACCGTAAGATGTCAAGTACTCTAGAAATAGGTCTTATGATTTGAACGTACACCAAAATAAAAATTTTCTCAGCTGGATTCAGGCACACAATGCCCAGTTGATCAAAAACTCAGTCTAGCACTTGGTCACTGGACTCGCTTCTAGACATTAACTTATCTACATGACTTAGGGCATCAAACACTGAATTACAATGGGTTAGACCAGGAACAACCCAAGCATCCCCTATTTCTTTCTCAATTGTGTCAGCAGCTACAGTGCTTCTGCTCTGTTTATTCCATAGGGTTTGAGCTTTTTTTTATACTAGTGTTATTTAAAGCTTTATCTACATCAGTAGTAGGAACAAGATTCATTGTATGAGAGGCGCATTTTTGATGGTCTGGTAAAATACGTATGCACATATGAGACAAGACCTCATCATCAACAGCTAATATATCAGCTAGAGAATACATTTCTACAGTATCTTCATCTGAGTCATCATCATCATCTATGACTGCATAAATGACCAAACAGTTGGGCAAGTGAGATGGTAGATGCATTGTTGGAGAACAGTCTGTAAAAGAAATTATCACAATTATTTAAACTTGCACCATATGCGAAAAAAATAATTTTGATATTTAATAACATGACTGATAATCTGACCACAAAGGGCAATGTCAAGATCTGATGACAAACAAACACACCCAAATAAGAGTAATATTATAATACTCCTATTTGGACATATTTGTTGTATATATACATTCTGTTCACATTAGATGTGTGTGTGTGTGTCTATATATATATATAAACCTCTCCATAATGACAAATGGTCCATTTATTATTTATTCTGGGTAACATTAGGCACTTTTATTAAGATTAAGGAAAGATTTCCAAACATGAAAGGGATAATTATATGAATGTGGGCTGTAATTTATATCTGTTATATAGGTAATATCTATCTTCTCTCCTCACATTATTTCATTCCTTCCTTCATTCCCACAGCCATGTTTGTATAATAAAATTGTTCTCTCTTGCTCTCATTATATATTCTTATCGTGATATTTTAAAGCTTCTCTCTAATTGGCCAATGTATGGGAATAATTCTGCAGAGGCACTGGGCTGGCCGTGGAAAATGAGGTCATGGCTCACCTGACTAAGGGCTATTGCTTTGAATTGTATATGTATATTGTAATATAAATATACAAACAAATTCACACAACTTTAAAATATGCCACTAACCTGAAAGCCTTGACAAATTTGCTGCTGTTATATGTTGTAGTCTTTACTATTTTGTTCTGGATGCAATATTTAATATGCACTGTTTCTTGTGCCTTTCCAATGAGATAATAGGTATGACGTCCTTTTATACAATAGCAGGTAATAACTGCATGCTTACGTTCCAGTGTATCCTCATTTATCGAGTGACTCCTAAATAGGATCTGAAATAAAATAATAATCCATCAGTTTCCAAACATCCTTTTAATAACAAAACAGGTTAATTCCAATATTTAAAAATTAACTATAGTAAATATGATATCAATGTTTCTAATTCAGGTGCAAAAACAAACCTCTCAAATTGTATGGTTTTAAAAATATGAGAATATTAGAGACTAAAAAAATTAGAGATTATTTATTATTTAATTACCTATTTCTGCAACTCCAGCAGTCAGCAGTCCAAACAACAGCCTTGACAACTGCTAGTTGCGATTTGAGAAGGCTAATTTTTTCCTCATAGGCATCATTCATTAATGTTCTTCAAGAAATGACTGTTCTTGCTGGCTGTAGTGGTGTGATTAAATTTCTAAAGATGTTGACTCGACAGCTCTAAATGACAAAAACTCTGAAACCACGAAGTCCAATATCAGCCCATTCAGGTTTTGTTGAGACACTCGAGAACTTTGACCAAACATTAGAAACTGTTTGTTTTTTACTCTTGATGATCAACTGCAAGCTGTTTAGGCGTGTTATCATTACCTTCATTTGCTTTCACTGTTTGTTTGCTTCGTGCCACACCTTGTTTCACTGTAGACTCAAATTCCTGAGTAATGGAGACATGTTTTATGGACATGTATTTTAAGTTGCTTGCAGATTTACTGTTCACACTGAACAGTTCTTTTAGAGGTGAGCAAAGCAATCATGTATATAATAAATTGTCACCAATACTTCTTCCAGTACATTTGTTGAGATATGGCCATGGATTATGTGGAGTTTCACTCAAACTGTTGCTACTTTCATAAGACATAGTGCTGCATACAACCTCCCACTCTGATAGTTTACAGACAAATGATGGAAAATACGCACCAAAGGCATCCTTGACTAGTGTGATGGCCTTCACTACAAGTCTACAAATTGACAACTCCACTGGAACATGCTTCAACAGGATAAAACATGTTTCAGCAGGAATACATGTGCAATACTTTATTCCTCTGCTGTTGTTCCAATATTACTGCTATTTGAAAAGTATGTTATTTACTATATTTCTGGTTAATTTTATTACTTTATTAATTATTGTTATTGTTTTAGCCAGATAGTTTTAACTACTAATTGTTATTAGTTATCTTATATTTTTAAGTATATTAATATGCTATAATATTACTGAATATAAAAAGTAATGAGTAACAAATAATGTGCTGTTTTAACTAAAAATTTAAAGACATTACCAAAAACGTTACTAAACTTGAAAAGTAGTGTCGTTACTTGAGATGTGCAGTTGCCTAAGAATTGTTTTCAATTTAATATTTTCTGTGAAGACTAACACTTACGATTTTTGATAAGTTATAATTTCTTGACTGCAAAGTGGTCTAAATAACAAAAGCACATTAACATGTGTGTTGTATGAGTTAGAGAACTTTCAAATTCAAGTACATATGCCTACATTCACTAAGCTAGTAGTATATGTTGTAGTCCATCATTAATGTGTTTCAGAATGTAATTCTTTAAATATGGTCAAATACCAATTATAATAATATTATGTGTTGTTCAAAAAAGTAGATAGGAATTCATAACAAAAAAGAAAGAGTATATATTATATAACATGTGCAAAATAGGATGAAACAATAAAGTATTAAGTACAGTATGTTAGTTGGGCCTATAATTACTTTGCACCCTCCATAATTCTAATTTCAACTTATTTTGCACTTAAGCCTGTACTATAAATTCATCTTTCATTTTAAATTAATATCTCACATGTACTGCATTCTAACTTAGTTCATTAGGAAAGCTCAAAAAATGCCACTTGCCAAAATGTAAGTTATGGGTTCTCTAATTTATGTCAGCTTTTGTATGAGTATCAATCAAAAACTTGCAAGTTACAGTTGTCAAGGCCTAACCAGTTGTTTGCACAGGTGACATAACTAATAAAAGTAATTGAGAGGTATACCTTTCTTGCAAAACATACACTTTACTGCTGTGGTAAATATTTCGTAATTTCTTGTAATACTGTCATAATCTCAAGTAACTGAGTAGTAAAAGTACAGTACCCACGATAGTAACACAATAGGACCTGTAAAGTACCCACAACAATAATACAGGAGTACAGTGCATGTTTATATGGTTACTATACATGCAAAATCTTGAACAAACATACTTTATTCCTCCAAACACATTTTTGCCACATTTATTTTAAGCTAAAAAGGAAACTTCACATTTTGTTTAGATGTTTTACAAAAAGTCTAGAAACATTTTACTCTTACCTTCTGGAAGACTCAATAAGGCCAGCAAAAGGTTTCTCCCAGGTATACATCTTAATCACTCGCATACCTGAAACAATCTCATTCATCAAACGAATCCTCTCATCTGTGATGCTTGCTGTTTTTAGCCTGTTGATCAGAGTTGTAAGAGAAATAAAAGCATAACTGCAAAACATTTAAATAACCATTACCTGAAACTTCACTGAAATGTTACCACATCAAAATACACTGGCTGACCACATTATTAGAACCTATACCTAATAATAGGTTGGAACACCTTTTGTCAAAATAACAGCCATGATACAATACACAGACCCACAAGCTGCTGAAAGGTGTCATGAATGATGTTTCCTCCACTCAGTCATTGATAATGAATGAATACATGCATCAAGATAGGAAGAGGATCTTAAAGGAAAATATGTCTTTCAAATTCATGCCACATATGCACAAAAGGATAGAGATCTGGCGATTGTGGTGGCCATGGGAGATGCCTGAAGACTATATATATATATATATATATATATATCATGTTTTTCAAACCATGTGTGCACAGTTTGGGCATTGTAAATAAAAGCACTGTCATCTTGGAAGTAGTTGTCCCCAACAAGACACACATGAAGCATCACTAGATGCATTTGGTCAGAAATGATGCTGAGGTAAGCTGTGATATTCACTCAACCGATAAGATGATAGAACAGGAAAATCATCCCACAAATCATGATCCCACTACAAGAGGCCTGGACAGTTGGGACCACACAAGAAGGATGAGTTATTCTTGTTGGTTTTTCTAGATATTTCTTCAACTACCTGAGCAAAAAAAGTACTACATCACTGTTCACCAATCATACCACTCAATGCATTCTATATTGTTGATAACACAGTCTAGTGACTGACATAATGGTCTGATACACAGTCTATTTTTTGCAATGTTTTTCTCAAGGTACAGCTGTAGATAGGTATGGATTAGTCTGCAATGAATGTCTGTCAGTTGGTGTATTGTTTGATAAAATATTTTACTATCCTGTCTAACTGCCTTTCTCTTCTTTCTGTCACTATATGTTTGCAGCCACAATTCCTCCTTGAAGCAGACATTTTATTCACCTTTTTTCTATTGCTGATAAACTTAAATAACAGATATCTTGGAGCAGCCTACAAATGAAACTGACTTAGCCACTGTGTCACCTGCTACACATGCACTAACCATCATGCCTCTTTTGAATGCCTCAGTAATTTTTCCCATCTAATATATGTTACACTGACTGCAAAGGTGGTTTTACCATTAATTTACAGTGCTGCAGGGATCAACTTAATTCAGATCACATCAATTTCAAGTCTGAAAGGGTACATAGGACCTAATAAATTGGTCAATCAATGTATAGCTATTTATTAATGACTACTTTAGTCATACATTCTCTAACTTGAGTCAACCCTTAAACACTAACAAATTATGTTTTAAGCAACAATTTTCCAAACATTAAATTATTCATACTTCTTTGATTATTTTACAACAAGAATTCCAGGAAAAGAACCCCACCCTTTTGTATTTAATGTTTAATACTCCATCTTATGGTTTTATCTTTAGACATAACTGAGGTACTGTGTGAAGATAGGTTCCTGATAAAGCTCCAAGGTGGAATATCCAGTATTAAAAAAAAAGTTTTTCTTTACTGGAGTTAGTGTTATAAAATAATCAATGAAAGATGTTCTAGAAAATATTCTACTCAGCATATGAAGAATCAAAAATACATATTATTTTGTTCAATTCTAAAGGACAAATCACTACCAAACATTTTATTTACCTAAGCTTGGAGAACAGCTTTCCCATAGTACCTTGGAAAGGAATGTACAGCAAAAGAACAGAAAGTCCAGCGAGACAAGCAGGACCTAAATGTTGCCATAAAACTGCAATAACAACTGCAGTTTGAAGAGGACCAACAACCAGATAAGAGAGAAATATAACAGACTAAAATAATGGAAAAAAAAGAAACAAATTAATAATTCCAAAGCAAGAGCAAACAGTAAAATTGTGTAGGTATTAGTGGTTAAAAAATATAAAACAGAAAAAGAAACTAGTTTAATGTTCATTTATTGTAAATTTTTGCGAAAAATGTTTATTACATGAATTGTTGGCACACAGTAAGTGCAAATAGATAATTAGTACAAATGAACATGAACAGTAGGTTAGTTTGCATTTTGCATTAAATTTCTTAATTTAAGAAATGGATGTTAGTTCATTAAAATAGTTTGCAGTAATATGCATCTCTTATATATTTAATTACACTAACTAATATTTATGTTCATATAGTTTTGAAGCAAATTACTCACTTTAGTGGTTGCATATATAAAAAAATAATAAAACATTTATTAAAAATAAATTGATTTAAATATCACCAATATTAAAAGTTAAAAGTCACAACAGAGAAACTTGGAAACATCACGAAACTAATATTATTGCTACAGAGGTCAAAATATCTAGTACCTAAATACAGCAAAAACTGAAGAACCTAGTTTTCAGCACTAGTCTTCAAGAAACATGTACAACAGCAAAATTTATATTCTATATATATTTTTTAGTTCATATAATTCTATATAGTTATGTTGCTTGTTATCTTTGGAATTACTAATCTTAATATTATTTTCTTATATGTTCCTTTTTCAAACAAGAGAAATTAGTTCTGGTTGAAAATGCAGCTGAAATGAGTCTAATACTATTATGATTAAGTACTCAATTATTCATTGAACTCAACTCTAAGCTTCGCACAGAATATCAAAGTACTTTGAACTTAAGCATTCAAATGTGAAAAATAAGTACAGGATCTGATACATTTATAGCATTATTTCAATAGATAACAGTTTCTGTCTGCCTTCTCAAATATCATTGATCTTTATAAGTCAAATAAATGTGATAAGTTTAACCGCATATTTTTTATACCTTCCTTAATTAATTATCAAGTCCTTTAAGACTTAAAACCAGATGCAAGTGTAAAAATATCTTGTACAATCTTCTTTCTCATCTACCACAAATGGTCTTTCATACACAACCAAAATTTATCAGCTGGACTGAAACTAACTGTGACAATAAAAAGTCTATTTCAAATTCTGTTTGCATGCAGTACAAGAGAATCAAAGATATGAAGTTAATGACTATGCAAACCATGAAAGTTTCCAAGGTGTTAAATATAAACTGAAATTCTATGTTAAACTGTCCTAGCTGATGAATTCTTAAATTGAACAAAACAAATTTGATAACAATAATGTTAAAACTGTACTGGACTGGCTGAAAAGATTATGAGATGAAATATCTGCAGTCTAACAGTAACTTTTATTAAATATCTTAACACTTACAAGCTGTTATGCTTTACCAGCTTAAGCATTTAACATGGTTCATACTGAATTGCTTAGATCAACTTCAAGCACTTTTCAAGGACTTTCTTAGCACTCTCAGAATGTTTTTCAAGCACTTTTGGAAGCTAAAATCTACATCACGATCAATCGGATTCCACTGAAATTTTATAAAGTTTCTATTTATTTGTTCAACATATGAATGCAGACTAAAAAGAAAAGAAAAGAAAAACTTCATTTATTGTGCTCAACTCCACAATATGCATTAGGGTTAGATATGTCAATATATTCTGCTATTATAATACTTTCAAGTACTTTTGCAAAAAAAAAGCCCCTTTTTAAGCCCTTGAAATTCAGAATAGGACTTTCAAAGATGCATATGCACCCTGATTTAATATTATTTCCCTAACCTATCTCCTTGTTCCTCTAAAACCATTAGTCACTGTATCATGTCAAGTTGAAAAACAAATTAACAGAATGGTACAGTTTACATCAGACTTAACTGATTCACAGTCTTACATTTTTTGCAAAACTGATAGAAGTGGTACAAACAAAAGTATCCAAAATATGCATTATATAACTTCATTTTTAAGTTTGAAGCACCTACTGTATATACCTGGTCAAATCTATTTACATCATTGGATAGAAGGTTCACCATTTGTCCAATTGTTGTCTTTCCCAGAGATGCCCGGCTAAGCTTTAAGGCCTGAAGAAAAAGGTAATATTTCTGTCTTAAAAACACACAAACCTGGAACAAAACATTTTTATTTTATGGTGAAACAACATTATTCTTAAAAAAAATACATACTGATTAATAAGATGAAAAAAAAACATCAAATGCTTTGAATTTTAAGTAACTATGGTCAGGTTATGAAATAAGTGTTGTCAATAATTCACACAGAAAAAAGATATGCTAACATACACAACCTTTTTATAAACCAAACTACAGCTGGCTATTCTTAACCTCATTCCAGTTCTTTGAACTCCAAAAAAGTATGGGTGATGAAAGAAGATGTATAGGGCAGCCATTAAACACACTCCTCCAGCTGATAAATACATTTCTTTCTTTGTGATGGCTGCTGGATCACTGAAATAACGAACCACCCAACCTAGCATTACAGGCTGCAATACTCGTATCACACATTCCTGAAATAATTTTGAAGACAAAAAAGGCAAAGGTTAAATGAAGGAAAAATATTGTAAATTTACCTGTATTATAATACTATGTATAATATTGTATAATAACAATACATTGCTAATATTTTCTTAGTTTTCTTTAGGTAGTGTACAAGACTGATTATGACTTTATTTTAGAATTAAACTAATGGCATTAAAAATTAAATAATTAGAAATATAATTAGTATGAATTATTTGAAGATGTTAAGTAAACCTCAGTTATCATACATATTTAAAAAGTCATTACACATGGAAAACATTTAGAATAAAAAATTTGGTGAACAAGAACTTATAAAACCAAATAATCCAAGTACTTTCAGTTATTAAACATTATCTTCCGAGATGAATTGTAAAAGATCAGGAAACTCTATATGCAAAGTAACCTGTAATGATGTCATGGAAGAGTTTAAGATAGTCTTGAGAAAGGCTCTTGCTAGAAAATATATATTTTTAGTGATAAAATATCAATTATTAACTCTAAAATAGATAATTCCAAAATTACTGTAAAGAAATACAAACATGAAATCACTACAAAACCATGTTACAGGCACTTGCAATGAGATCTATAAGTGCTTACATTGATATTTCCCTCCATACATACTTACAGTAATATTTACCTATACGAGCAGTAATACCTGCTTCGAAGAAACTAAAAGTGTGATTTATCTCTGTACACAGGATTGATATACTTCTCAGGTAAAATAATTCCAGAGCTTTTTTAAAACTTTTCCAAGATTACTTTGAAATTTCCATTCCCAAAAGTTGTTAATTTGACACAGCAGTCACATTAACACAATCTGATCCCAGATGCATGCTTCTCCATGCATGTGGCTAGACAATGTAGCTCCACCCATTTTGGCAATGTCAAAATATTCAGCACAAACTATACATATAGCAAATAATTTCTTTAATAACTCTTCCATGACCAATTCTTTGTAATTGAAATTTACAGGCTACCCCTGATAGAAATGATACTTCTGCATCAATTGGCTGTGGTTCTATCACTGAACTGCACCCCAAAATATGCAACTTCTCCCTCACTATTATGAAAACTGCTTATATGCCCACACACACTTCTCATATTCTCCCTACAACTGATTATGAATAGTAAACACAAAGTAAATTAAAAAAAACAAAAACATTCAGTGTCATAGGTTTGACTTCTATACAGAGCTACTCAATTAGGCATATAGTTAATCGTTTTTAGTATAACTTGTGTAAAACCTCATAAACTGAGAGAATTTTTTTCTATATAAAAGAAACCAAAGCAATGACGTTCTAAGTTGTGCAATTTTTATTTACAATTAGTGTTATTGCAAAATTTGATTCTTTACAAAAATGGCTGTGAATGCATGTGTTTGTAAGCAGTGTTTGAAATAATGGTAGTTTGGTTCCCTGAAATACATTTTTCAGGCAACTAGGATGGTTCATTAAGTTCCATAGCTAAGCAACTTATTTTTGAAAGACATATCAATCCTAATTTTTGTGCTAAAAAAATTGTGCTAATCATGGGTCACCATGCCTGTTTAAATCATTTTTTTTTCCATTAATAATGAACATTTTCTATTGCTGATGAATTAGAAATCAATTTTGGTTTTAGTTTCTTACATATTATTCATTTTTGGAACTAAATATTATATCAAAGTTATTTTCATCAGAAATTCCAACATATTTGTGGTATAGCTGTTTGAAGAATTATCAGCACCAGACTTCAGATGTTCTTTTATATACTGCTATAAATGACATGATTGGTTTTACATAATCTTGTACACATTGAAAACAAATATATCAATAAATAATGAAAGAGCATTGATGTATTTTTATGAATACACACTGAAATTTGTAGATAGTTTCATTTAAGGATATTTTCTATATATATTTCTCAACGCAGCCTCTACCCATAAATGGGATACTTGTATAGAGTAGCAATTTGGGCAGATCATAACTCACTTTTTGAGGGGTGTACACTATTTAAACACATTTTAAAATTTTGTCAAGTAATGAGAAATTTTATAAAACTTATCATGTTGCCAGTAACTATCATTAATTTTGTACAGAAATAGAATGTGTAAAATATGTGATGTTAAAAATGGTTTTAATTTCTTATTATTTAACAACATTTTAAGATATTTTAAAATGGAGCCATTTTTCAAACACTTTCCAGGTGCATATGAGGACTCATACATATCAACACTGATGCTTACCTCAAAGAATGCCAGAAGACCTATAGCAGCATACCTCCAACCAAAACTTCGAATAACTGCTTTCTTTAAACTTGGTTTTTTTCCTGCTTTCTGTTTGGCTAATTCTTTGTTCCATTCTCTAAGGTAGAAAATGACATAAAAGTAACATAAGCATTGATCTCTTTGACATAATAATATTTACAAATAACTTAGGAAGACAAGAAATTTATTTAGATTTAAGAAAGTCCCATTTCTGTAAATCTTTATTTTTTTAATTATATAGACATAGAAAAACTACCTTTCTTAAAGAGTGTAGTTAATTAATGTATTTCAAAACTGCCATTAAATTCACTATCTTTGCTGCAAAATAGTTGCAGTAATAACAAATTCAAGTGACATTTCATATATTTTTATAAAACAAGGTTTAAATCCAGATTTAACTCGTCGATAAAAGTAGGAAAATGCAAGTTTTAAAACATTCTATTAAACAGCTAATCAACCTACTCCATCATTTTCATAGATGTAATGATGTCATGTTACCAGAACTCATTCTAAGCTAATTCTATAGAAGAAAACAATTTGACAGGGGTATTTGGCTAGCTCTGTTTATTTGTATTGCACTTTTATATTGCAATCATTCCCACTACAAGATACAGTTAAATGTTGCTTACTCCCAAGATTTATGAGTGCTTTCGTGTGGGAAGGGTAGTGTAAGGAGTACTATCTATATCCCACTAACATACATGTAAATAATTTAACCTTAAGCATATGATCTCTACAATAGAGATCATACAATCCTACATTATTGAAAAATAGTGGGAGGCAGAAGGCAATAAAATAGCTTTACTTAATTTCACAGCACAATTATGTTTAGTATTAAGCATTTCACATTGGAAATGATTAAAAGGCAACATGTATATCATGCACTAAATCATGATTCATTAATTTTATTTTTATGTGTTAGTGCAGATGTAGAACTAGACATGAACATCATTTCAATAGGTCAGCAAAATTTATTTGAGCTGATATTCAAATTTTTTCAGTTTTAGTCTCCCAAGAAAAACAATTTCTAATACAGAAAGATCCTTGTGAAAATATAAAAAAAGAAACAAAATGGCAACAAGTATGGAGGTTATGACAAATATGACTGACAAAGTTTCTGAAACTCTAATAACTACTTCCACTATCCATAATTACATACAGCAATTCAAAAGGTGGAAATGAAAAATATATTTAAAATTTCATCACACTCAAAGTAATTTCATCATGAACTATCCAAGCCTGACTCAAAAAGATGAGGTGCAAGAACATTGAACAAAACTATAAACTGCAGAAACCTCAAGATCAATAATGAGAAAAGTATGAATAAATTAAGACACTTCATTAGCAACAACAACAGCGGTATGAATTCTTGAAGTAAGATATATATAAACCACATTATAATCATTGTTATTAATATTGTAGCATTGTGTTTGAATGAAAAATATGGCATTAAGCTACAATAAAATCACATGAAATGTTGATAGTGTGATACAATTTATCTGTATATACATATATTACATATACAGAACAGAGCAAGGTAATGTCACAAGTTCAACAATTAAGTGGAAGATTAGATGGCTACATACCTTATCACAATGAAATAAAATAAAAGAACCTTTAAAAATACAAATATACTATTAAAACACTTCTCCATATGAAGTAACACTAAAAGCTTTAGTAGGGTACATTTTTTGTCATCTACTTAGCTAAGCTGATACAGTGATCTAACTAAACAAATCAGAGCTAACATAGTGATCTACATGTATATAGTTTAATGTAGGCTGACATAGTAACTTAGTTAAGCCATTGAGAACTGGTATATTGCAAAAGGTGGCTGAGAAAAAAAGGTGATACACCAACCCAACTGGGCTGATGAAAATTGATGCAGTGTTCTGGACTGGGCTGAGGGGAGTTGACACATTGACCTAATTAGGTTAATGAGACATAGTTAACAGCAACTTACATAATTTAATATAATTCGAACCAATAGGAGATGATATCAAAGTAGTGATGTAGTTGGGTTGATGATAGTTATTAGAGCTAATTCAGCAGCTTAACCAAATTAATAAGAGCTGTTAAAATGATGCAGTGTAGATGGCCTGATGACAGATGATATAGTGTTTAACTGATAAGTGCTGATAAAGCATCTTTGCTGGGCTGATGAGAGCTGATACAGTGATCCTGCTCGGCAAATTAGAACTAATATAGTGAGTTAACTGAGCTGATGAAACCAGATACAGTATATTTCACAATGCTATGGTAAATGTATACAGTTTGGTACTCAATGTGAATTCATATTTTATATTAAGAACTAAAGAAGTGACTCAACCAGTATTACTACTTCTGACTGGAATGTAGAACAATTAGATCACTCTCTCATTGAAGAAGTGTTCAAAGTTTGGTGTTTATTAACCATTACCAGTTTCTATGCAAAGAGAAATTAATAACCATATCATAGGTTAAGCTTCATTACCAAATAAGAAATTATTTCATTATTTCAGTATACTAAATCTTTTAACATACTTTAGACTGCTCTCCTTTGTGAAACGCTATGGTAGAAGCACAAAGGGGAAGTTTTCAAGTTATGTGTAGACACAAAATAATGGTGTTCCTCCAATGTGGCTTTTTGGTAGTTTATTTTATTTTATATTTATAAATGCATGATGTTATATATTGTTTGTTTACTATTAGTTCAGACAGAAGAAAATTGTTTGCATATGTTAATAAATATGGATTTCATAATAAATTAAGTGATTCTGTTACAATTTGGGTTAAAGTAGTGGTGTTTCAGAAAATGTAAATATAATTACTGGAATAATTTACTTCTTTTGAGTTAACCTTTTATCATAATTTCTAATCCAAGTAACATAACATACATACAAGGGACCAGTTTAATTCCTCAAGGTTGTCATTGCATACCAACCCTAGAGGAAAAGAAAAGCAAAACCTTCATTAAAGCTAAGTGATATTAAAACAAGATATCCATTAGGCTTGAAAATTAATTTCACCTGAATAGAAATAAGGTGAATTAAATTTATAATAAGATAAGCAATAACATCCAAAGATACCTTAAACATAACATTCATATTTTGCTGATGTCACAAATGTAAACATTTCTTGGATGATAAAGCATATAAAGGTAAAATGTATTTAGTTTCTTTTGCTCATGATAATTTCTTATAAAATATGAAAATAAACTTGTGACTCAATAACAGTTAATGTTGATAATTGATCCTAGCCTTGCACCACCTATACAGGCAATAGATCATTACATTACAAATTCTATAAATGACTTTGACATGGGTTTCACTCACTGGAAAAATTGTGCACATACTTGGAAAATTTTGGAAACCCACACACAAACTGAATAGCTAACTGCAGCTTTAATTGTTTCATAAAAATTAAGTTATTTTTTATTTAGTTCTTTCACAAGAAACATACATGCAAGTTGTTTTTACACTATAAACCAATGTCTTGATATTTATTTTAGAAAACGTAGGAGCATTTCTTCTGTATTATGTTAATATTTTAAAAACTAAGAAAGTGTATACATAACATTCAGGGACTAAACATTTTACATAAAAAAATAAACTGCTCAGTATAAAAGGTAGTAATCTTTTTCTTTACTAAACAAGATGAGCTTCCATGAAAAAAAAGTATATGCAAATAACTCAGATTAATTACTCTGTACATCCTAGGACATTTTTTCCCATTACTTAAGCTGAGGATTTCAGGCATGGCAATTGTAACACAGAAGACAATGTTTTTGTACTGGACAAATGGTAAAAATGTACTATCTTAGGCTTCAAAAATCAAGCTGATATCCTAGCAAATATTTGATAAAGGACACTTTAAGTAGTACTGAATCAGAGATAATTTTTTACAAGAACCTCTTAAGAGAGTTTGACCTTGATGAAAGTGAAAAAGTCACTTTGAAAGCTCTTAACTAAAGTGTTTATATTGTGTTTATCTCTGTTCTCATGGTCTTCATAAGACAAAAAAGTTATCCTTTCCCAGGGGAAAACACTGAGTACTTTTAGAAAAAATTAAGAATTATGTTTTGATATATAGCCATAAAGAAATAAACTTTATTTAACTACAGTGTAATGATCTCATGAAGTACACTTCCACTTATGAGCTTTGGAACTTTTGGTACTACTTACTTCAATTGGATCACTTTTAAGAATTTGCTATTTTTGTGTTTAATACAGTATTATTTATTTACTTTTTTTTCTTGTAAGTGAAATTATACCACAAAAATGTAGAAGAGAAAAATTATTTTGTTTAAATATTGTGTAACCATCTGATAATTAAAACTTAAAAAAACTGAATTGTTTATTAACTAGCAGAATTTACAAAAGTCATATATCTAATAGCAAGTAACTACCTACAATTTTAAGGATTATTGAAATATTAGATTTGTGCAAAAGGAGAATATGTTTGACTAATGTTTCATACTAGAAGAGAAATAATTCACATTGGTACCAAACCTGCATCGTAAATTTCTGTAAAGCCATTGGAATTATAATATCAGTCTAACAGCAAATGATTAATTATGAAAAACAAAATACAAACAAAAATATATAAATATATTATAGCAAAACAATCACTGAAGAATAAAAGCTTCTCACAAACATCCAGATATAGTTCAGAACTAATCTCTTTCAGCTCAAAGAACCAAAAACATTATTATTCAAAATTCATATAATTCCTAATACACTTTCTCAATTCTTATCTAAATTAAAACAATTAACCCTATAATAATTATAAATGTAGTTCATATGGATTCCATCATGTTTATAAAAACAAATTTTCAGCTTTTTATGAGTTTATGACCAAATTACTTGCAAGTCCACAATTGATGGTTACAGGGTTCCAAATAACTTACAAGTCATGCTGAAAAATGTTAGCAAAAATTCCATTAATAGTGCATTTGATCACACTAACTAATGCTGAGTTTCACGGTGTACTTTATATAGAAAGAGAGATTTTTTTTCATCAAATTTTTTAAGAAGCAAAACCAAATTACTGAATGTTATAAATATAACTTTGAGGGTCAAGATACTTTTAAGTTTTCTTGCAAGTTCCATGAATATA